TATTAAGATATAATGTGCAATCATATGATAATTCCTACTTAATTTCCTATTCAAATTCCTGTTCCAATTACGTATACGATTTTGTATAGGAAACCATATGGCTTCCTATATAGGAGCCTATGTGGGGATTTTCAGTAGGGTATTGGTTAACAGTGTAAGTTAAAAGATTAATTTATGAAACTGCTAATAATATAATGAGGAAGCATTTGATACCATTTTTTGAAAACAATTAAATCATTTTCCGGCAGTTAGAATGTCTAATATTAGGATTTCTATTTGTAGAGAATGATTGGAATTGTCCTTTCATAAATCGAGTTAAAGAACTTCAAAAGTGGTGAACTAAACCTTTCATATTTTTTAAAGACTTTTCCCAGTAAAAATGACAACAGAGTTCTGTCTACTGAAACTGAGAATGAAAAGAAAATACCCAAAGAAAAAAATTTGTCCCGTAAGATGAAGAAATTATCTACAGTAATTGAAGAGGGATTTACATGTTGATGTAAATTCAGCATGCACAACAGAAAATAATAAGAAAATAATTTCTAGTCTTATTGTTAGGGAAAATTTTGATCCCATGACATATCCTACAATGTTTCCTTATGGTGATCCTGGATAAACTGTTAACCTTAAGCATACTCAAGGTACTTGTAATTTTATTCATTTACAATTTTATATGTATCGTCTTTCATAGAGAAGAAAAAAGCGTGGATTGCCACATGTGCTTTTAACTATATGTTTACGTACACAAATTTGCGATTCAGAAACTTTAAATAAAATGATATGTGCTGAAATCACAGACGAAATAAAGAATCCAGAACTTTTTAACATTGTAAAGCGATTTTCAGTTCATGGGCCTTGTGGTAAACAAAATAGGAATTCACCCTGCATGAATCCTGAGATGGGTCATTTAAATGTATTGCTGACAATTCGACGATCGTAGCATATAATCTTTACTTGAGTACAAAATTTAAAGGTCATATTGACTGGGCAATAATAGGTATTATATTATTATAACACCATAATGTTGAAATAGTAATACAGTAACGATTACAAAAATAATATTATTTTTGTGAGATCAAAATTCCAATAAGTGTCCGTCAAATAAAAATAAATTTTTAATTTTTCATAAAAAATTGTAGATATCGCGCGCGTTTACGCGCATTTCTTTTAGCTAGTTTAGGTTATAAAATGTAAACAAAAACGAAACTTTGACTTGTAGTATAACCGATAGACTATTAAAAATTTATTGACAGACTTAATTCATTCACAATAAAGCATTCACTTAAAAAAATTTAAATATTGTAATTATACATACCTTTTAGCTTCTTGTCTTTACTAGTGTGATCTGGAGTAATCTAATCTGTAATCCAGACAATGAAGGAGATCATGTTTTCAGTCTTCTAGTGAAAAATTTTTGGGGAATTTTATGTTATTTCCCAAAATTCTGGCACTATTCTTCTGGAACCTAAAGGAAGTTCACATTTTGTCGCAATTTTAATTGTATGAGCCAATAAAAATTATTGGTTCTAGGAATTAATATTTCAAAGTAGTGTTGTAACACTCGGCGATAATTCCACTCAGAATGTTTTAATCTCGTTCTTTTTTTTAAATTTGGACAAGTTGAATTCAGAGTCTCGATAAGTAACAATATTATTTACGATTAATTAAATTTATTGAACTAAATTTAATTCAATAATTATTTATTGAATTTCAAAGTTTAGTGTTCTTTTCACAAATTTTTACTGTTAATGTTTTTTATTTAATGTTTCACTCGAAAAATAATCAATGTTCTATTTCACGAATTATTCTAAGTTTTATTTTCACAATAAGAAAATTCTATAAAGATCAATTACGCAAATTGAACTCAAAATCTGGCCAAAAATCTTGTCCCTACCTCTTGATTTTTGCTTATAAAGACATTTTCCACTCATGTCAAAAGTCCCTTTTTCCCTTTCTTCTTTTCTATTTTCCAATCATATTCTTATTTTTTGGCTTCTCAGTCCCGCACTCACTAATCATTAGATTTGTTTACGCGAAAATCAATGCATTTGTCGCACAATTTCCCACGTTTTTGTGGTAAACACCTGCACTTTTTTACGCATTTTCTCCAAGTCTATTTTTAAAAATAGATAAATACGTCATATTTCATAATTTTTAGCTTTTTTATTTCTTCCTTTTACGCATTTTTTCAAATCAATTATCTTCGAATTTTGTTATTCTTTTATTAAAAATATTGCAATTTCTTATGAAATGTTTTTGTAATATTCCAGTTTAATTCGAGTCTAAAAATCTTCATTAATCTAATTATCAATATTATTTTATTTATTATTTTATTATTAAAATATTCAAATTTTTCCCGCCATTTATTTAAATTATTATTAATTATTCTAATCCTATTATCGAGACCCGATTTTGCAGCGATGCTTATCAGTACTCGCATTTACCTAGAACATATTTCTAGAGAAAAGGAAAACTGAAAAAACCCTTTCTGAGTACATATATTTTTTTTTTAATTGTTATTAATTATTCTTATTTTTAATTCCTGAATTTGACGTATACATGTGTATATTTAAATATACACATGTATACACATTCTTAATCTTACCAATTTTCATTAAGTACCATTAATTGTCATTAATCATCATTAATTATTATCAATTACCATTAATTTAATAATTATTTTTTCCAAATTCATTCCTTTTTCAACCTCTTGCAATTATTAATGAGTATATCATCATTTAATATTATTAAATGAGACTTTATCGATTTTAATTTCATTATTTCAAATTAAGTATAGGGAAACATTAAATTTGTTTGATCGGCAAACGAGTTCGAGTCTCGTTTATCTAAGGCTAATTATCGTCTCGTTTCGTCTCGGTTTAAAAAAAATCTATTAATATGATTTGAAAATTGAAGAAAGACAATTTAATCAATATATTCACGTTTTTAGTAAAAATAGCGACATTTGAATATTAAAAATTAAAGAATTATTTGACTTTATTAAAAAAATTAGTTACTTTAAGAAATTAATTTAACAATACATCAAACTTAATTTTTAGAATTTCAAACTGAATTAATTTTGGATGTTAAGGAACAAGCATTCCAAGAGTTAAGAAACAATAAATGTGTTATTGAGTTATCAGACCAATATATATTCTTTCGTTTTGTTGGTTCAAAATCGACTGTTTCCGAGTTAGAATCAGATGCGTATATGATATTGATATTAAACGTGCCTTGATCTGTATCTTTTGAGTTTTTCTTTTTCAAATTTTCTTTTTCAGGTACTGGACTCTACGAATAATTTATTAATTAATATATTGTAATATTTCTTGTCAAAGTAAAAATTGTCAAATGTCAAATAACATCTTGAAGTTTATTAAATATTTTTAATATTTATTTATTAGTTATGAAATAGTTTTGACTACTTATTGAATTGTTTTTTGTTTTTATCACATTTCTTATTGTTTAAAATTCATAAAAAATTATAACATTTAACTTACGTATAATTGTTTTATTTTAATAAGTAAAAATAGTGATATTTTTATTCATAATACCTTCGGCTTAAAGTAGTCGGTTTGATAAATATTCTCAAATTTGTCTAATGATTGTTTCATCATTTCTTTGCCCCAATCAGTGAGTAGAAAAATATCCAATTTATGCCTAGGATCAAGTATTAACCACAACCACATTATTATTTAAACAATAAAATATGATAAAGTATTTATTGGGATTTGTAGAAAAAGTGTTTATAAGTAATTTAAGACCTTATTTGTATCAATTTAATACGAAACAAGTGACATAAAAGATAAAATATGGAGCACTGTTATATTAGAGTATTTTGTCAAATTTTTATATAATTCAATGAAAAATGTTTTAGATATGATTTTTTAATAATAGAAAAACAGTGAAAAAGTATTAATTTATTATTTTAAAGCATTTGAAAGGGTAATAAATAGTGAAAATTAATGTTTTTATTGTGTACTTTTTGTGTGTATTAGATAACGTTTATCGACAGCAAGTTACAGGTTACACTGGTGAACGCTAGATGGCAACACAGTAAACAATTAATAAGAATTTGACAAGAAACATATTTAACCCACTGAAAGTCGATGATGCATCTAGACACAAATAAAAAAAATGCTAAAGACTTATTGAATATTCATAAAAAATGTTACTAGTGGGTTTTCGGCGTCGCTAATTACAAATTTGATATCAGATTTCCAAAAATCAAAATGTCGAATAAAAAAAAATTAAACATTATTCGTATTCTCTCAAAGCTCGTTACTTGGGAGTTTTTGGGGTCACTGATTACGAATCTGATATTAGATTCTTAAAATTCAAAATGGCGAATCAATACGAATTACGAATTGGTTTTCAAAAAATCCATGATAATTCCCTGTTTCTCCTCGAAACTTTAAGAAAATAATGATTTTAATTCATTTCGAAGTGAAAGTTTTATATCAGATTTGATTCTTCTTTCGAAATCCATTGAAAATTTAAAAAATATTTAAAAATAACAAAATGGCGGCCATTTTACTAAAAAACTTTAAATTGAAATTATTCAAAAACCCCACCTTTTTTTTGCTCAAAATTTGTTTGGTTATTGTGTTCATAGGAAGGAATATTTTCCACAAGAATTGAACTTGTGCCCAATTCTGTTACAAGAGAAAAAATTTTTTTTTATATTTTTTAAAAGAGAAACATCATTTTTCTCAAAAAATACAATAGATATAAAAAAATTTCTTAGATAAAACTTGTTCCTCGTTAAAAGACCTAAAAAAATGTCTGTTGTCATTTTTGTCTACATTTTTCTTTTTCAACAATATTTGCAAAAAATTGATTTATAGCTCACATTTAACACAGATAGAAAAAATCAGATCGCTACAAATAGACGATCAAGGATGGAAACGAGCGAGTACACCCAGAAATCTCGACTCGAATGCAACTCAATTTCAAAGCGATTGAGCACCTCTGAGTGATCCAGATTATGACTCGTGAGCATGTCGAATGCACCCTATAGTGAAATTTTGGATCTAATTGGGGGTAAAACCTGATTCAAAAAAGGTCTATGCTGTTCAAAATTTTCCGCGTCCAAAAAATATTAAACAGTTTCAGGGTTTGGCTTGTTATTATAGGCAATTTATTTCTAACTTTGCTAAAATCGAAAAACCAATAATAAATTTATTAAACAAAAATTTAAAATTTGATTGGAATTAAGAGTTTAAATTGGCATTTATTCAATTAATGAAAATATTATGTACACAATAACTGTTACAATATCCTAATTTCACGAAATCATTTATTGTGTCAACCGACGCTTCTGATTTCACGATAGGGCAGTTTTGAGCCAGGGTAAAATTGAAAAAGATTTGTCCATTGCATCAAGAATGATGAGTGGGGCAGAATAACACTGTAGTACAACTGAAAAAGAACTCTTAGCAATAATTTTTTCAATAAAACAGTTTCGACCTTATATTTTACATCCCGAAATAATTTTTGCAAATTCAATTGATTGCATGAATGCCCCTAATAGTATGTTTCCATGACATCACATAAGTACTATTATATCAAACAGTATAAAAACATTCTAGTGTTAAAATTATAATAGAAAATACGTACGATTGCTTGTTATTTTTATGTTATATTGTTTTTTGATATAATGATATACTGTTTTTTATTTTGTAATTAATTATTTCTATATATTATATATATGCAAAGAATCATAAAATTCTAAAACAATTAATTATTATATCGAACGAGATTTAACTTACATAGATAATTAAACGGCGGTTGGTATATATTATCTACGCGTATGATAATGAAGTCTACGGTCGGTAATATAAAAAGTTCAAATTTAAATTTTGATAGAGTAAATAATTGCACTCTAATATATGGATATATAATCAATTATATCAAATGCGATCAATATATATTGTAAAAAGATTATAATAATCTTGTCAAGTACATAATTATAATTATAGGAAGATAAATGACTACTAATAAAAATCATCATTGATATTGCTTTATGATTGAAAATATATACGCCAAAAGAAATATGACATTCTGTACGTGCTTTCTAGAAATCGGCGAGAAAACCCCTATTGAAAATCTCCACGTGGGATCCTATATATGATCCCATATAAGTTCCTCTATAAAAACCCTTATAAAATCCAATGTTCCACATAGGAATCCAGATGGAATCCCATGTAAAATCATATAGGAAATTGGGACACGATTTGGTGTATAATTTCATGTGGGGATTTATGATTTTGTTTCTATATAGAAACCTATATGAATTCCTACATATATATTTTTATTACTAGAAAAAAGCCATTTTTTCCTATTTGATCACTTCACGTGAAATCTCTTATTTACTTATTGTACATATAGTTTTATAAGTTTTAAAGTTTGACATATAATTGAATTTAAAATTACTTCACAATAGTTATAATTTTACAATTTTAGCCAATTGATTTTACTTTTTAAATCAAAGTTTCAATAATTTGTTCCCGAACTCTAAACTTTTAAAAATTTAATCAATATCAGTGCTTTGGGCACTTAAATGTGCCATTAAATCTTCTATTTTAAATTTCAAAAATGTTATAAAAGAATCGTAATCATTAACCTGGATTTGCGCCCGAAGTAACAAGTTTCAATCTATAATCGAATTTAAAAAAAAACACTAACTTACATTTTGTGTGTTGTGAAAGCATGTAAAATTTTATATTTTAAAACATTAAGTGAAGAAAAATTTTCTTCTTGTTTTTTTAGTCCATAATTTTTATTCTACAATGTTACGGACGGAATTCCGTAAATTTTTAATTTTTTTTGTTAAATATTATTCATTAAAAATAATATTTGTTATTAAAATATTGTAAACATTCTTCTCAATTATAATCAAACATCAAATTTAACACACACACATACATATATAAATTTTTCTAATCTTAAATATTCAATTATTAATTCAAATTTATTTAACAATTATTAATAATTTTATTTTATAATTATTTTAATTCTGAAATCAATATGGTTATTTCGCAAATGAATTGAGATTATTGAACTTCATGTTGCGATATAACACGGACTAAAAATATAATCAAGTTTGACAATTGTGGGATTTACAATGTATAAAAGTTTCCACATTAGTTTGGAAAATTAGGAAATATAAGAAATCATAAAGGTAATTCAGGTGGTTGAACCAATCACGCCACTAATAAAATGCAAGTTTGCTAAAACTTGCATGGAAATAACGAGGTGCTGATTGCAAAATCAACCCTCCCACTACTTAAAATTACATACCAACAGGGTGTGATCGTTGCCACCGAATTATTGTTCGGAGAGTCTTAATTTGTTTTTCCCGCAGAGCTGATGCGTTTCCCGCAAGAAGGCGGATGATTATAAAGTTTAACTCCCACTAAGAGTGGTAGAGAGTATTATTTGTTCCCCGCAATAAGGGTTGAAATTCGTCGAGTTTGTTTATAAAAATACAAGTAAATAATCCACAGTTGGTGAAATTGATTATCATATAAAAGTTCATTTAAAAAAAGTAAATTGAATTATTCAGTATAAAGTGTCATAAATGATTAAAGCGTAGATTCAGCTAAAATCTTAAGTGTTTTATTAACTTCACAATTGTTTATATTTCAAATTATCTTTAGAGAAAATTCAGACTTGGTGAACCCAATGTTCTGAATTTTAAAACGAATTTTTGAAATATTGAAATAATTGCTCAAAAAGTAATCATTGCAAATTTATTGGAAATAAAAAGATATAAAGAATTAAAAGGAAGTAAAAGCAACTTCCGCATAATTGAAGTCATATGACAAATACGAGTGTTGAACTCCACAGAGTTCAAAAGTAATTTGATAATTTTCTGTATCATTTTAATTATTATTATTCTGGTGAGTTACTCTAAATATTTATTCTCTATTTGAAAAATAAAGAATCTCTTAAAGAAACATTCACATCACACACATCTTTCATTTGATCATTTTGCTTTTTGATTGAAATAAACCATTCTTTGTGAGACTTGAATTTGTTCAAGTAGCTTAACGTAAATGTCCTTTAAAATTGTAAACATTTTTTTTATCAAAGATCAATTTGGGAACTAGATGTACACTGTTTGGGGGTTAAGTGAATAAATGTAATCTTGTTTTGTGTTAATTCAAGTTTTGATTTATTTAATCACCTTTTGATGTTTTTGTCTCATTTCTCTTTTTAATCATTTTCACTTAAATACCGTCTATCCGGGTGTATTGAATAAATAATATTCTAAGTGACAGTCCACTACCTTAATCTAACTTTGTTAGCGAAGAGCAATTTACGCTTTCCAAATAAGCGGAATTGTTAAATAATAAAAATTAGTATTCTTTCTAAATGTTTATTATTTCTAGTTAAATTATCTATTTTTATTTCTTTTGTTAATTAACATCCGTCTTTAACATACAATATAACAATTAGCATAAAAAATTAAGTTTGTAATGAATAGTCTACAAAAATAACATTTTTCACAAAAAATTTTGTGTCAATATGATACCGAACCTATTAAAATTTTTTTAAAACTTGGTTGGATTCACTTAAAACTTGTTCCTAGGGAGTTTCTAGGGTCGCTGATTACGAACATGAAGTCAAATTGTAAAAATTAAAAATGGCAGATCCAATATGTCGGACACATTTTTAAATGTTTTCGAATTTTCACGTATAACTTGTTATCTAGGAGTTTTCGAGGTCGCTGATTACAAATTTGAAGTCAGATTTTGAAAATACAAAATAACAGATCCAGTAGGGCGGAAATTTTTTCAAAACTTTTTTTTCAATTAGAATTAATTAAAAAAAATATTTTAATTCGTCCGCCATTTTAAATTTTTTGTGACAAAAATACGCCTATCAAATTAAATTTCGGACTTAAGTGGTGGTTATTTAAAGTTGATAGATTTTTGGCAAAGTGGGAAGTACAGACATGAAGTTTTTGTCAATAGGTTGCTTTAAAAAACTTGACGGATAAAATTGAGTCTAATCTGAATACGTGCTTATTATGGAGTTGAAGTAATATATTGAGTTATGGAAATAAGGGATTTATGAAGATAAGTGTGGTATTGCATTAAGTAGGTTATTGGGTTACGTTGATGATAAGCTTAAGTAAATTATAGAGTTAAGAGTTCATAATTTTTCAGTTTATAAATTCTTATTGGTACAACTTGGTAACTTAGAGTTACGTCCATTTAACAGTTTAAATTATGTGCTATTTAAGATTATATCAGAATTCTCATTTGGTGGGATGAAGAGGCCTCGAATTACGATTTTTATTCTAGTCTAAAACTTTAAAAACTAATGGCTGATTTAACAATTGCTTAAGGAAAAAAAATCAAAATGATTAAGCAAAAGGTGGTACTTACAGATATCGATTTGCATACAAGAAATTGGTATTAATATTCAATCTACTATGTAATATTCATTCATATGGAATTAGTTTAAAAGAAAAAATAAATAGACATTTTTTATGCACTATTTCCACTGACATAATAATATAGTTTTTAAAAATATTTTTAAAGCATCGATTACAATGTAATTCCAAGTGTTAACACCAACTAACAAAATGTGTCACATTATCATACAAACAGTTCTGTTTATTATTGGAGCGGTTGTTAGCGGTAAGTTCGTAAAAACCTAAAAAGTAAAGAAGATAATTTATATTAAATTTTTACTGGGGATAATAAATAATTATTTTTAAATTAAAATATAAAAATATTTTTGTATTTCTAAAAAGCTTTTTTCCATTATAAAAAGAATTGTTAGAAAATACTTTATTTATTTTTAGAATAACGAGAATAAATTTGAACTAAAAATTTTGTTTATTTTTCGATTAATTAATAGATTTTGTGAATTATTTTGAATGTATTCAGTAGTTTGGTTAATTGTCTTTCAATTTTTTGTATTTCAAGTTAAATTACCCAGGAACAAAATTTTAATTTGATCCAAATTTGGGTCTAAATTAAATTCTAATATGATTCATATTCAAAATTAATTAAATTTAATTGTAATCCCTTAATTAAAACCAAATTTATATATAATTAAATTTATTTTCATTAAATTTTTGGTGAAACTTATTAATGTTTAATTAAATTTAATATGAATTAATTAATGTTTAATTAATTAATAAGTTTGGACTTACCCTGTGGACAAAAAACCATGTTCGTTCTAAAAACGTTTTAAGGACGTTCTTAGAACGTTTCATGTCCGCCAAATAATGTTCTGGAACATTTTAAGAACATGGATGTTCAAATAATGTTCCAGAACATTATTTGGTGGACATGAAACGTTCTAAAAACGTTCTTAAAACGTTTTTAGAACGAACATGTTTTTTTGCCCACAGGGTAATTTGCTAAAAACAAAAACTTAATTAGAGATAAATTAAGGATTAATAAGTTTAGGCTTATTAATTTTTAATTTAAGTTTAATTAATATCTTATTTAATTCAAATTAACCTTAGTTTAATTCTGAATCTGAATCAGTATAATTTTACTAATTAATAGAGATAACCTAACAGAACTATTAGTTACATTCTCTCCATAAATTAGTATAGTTATACTGATTTAAATTTAGAAGCTTCACTTATTTTTGCAATTCTGCAGTCATTTGAACCCTTTTTTTCTTCTACAATATTAATAATATCATTAATGTTTTAATTCACCAAAATTTATTAATATATTTATTTCCTCAAGAAAAGTTTAAAAATTTTACATTTTTATTTCGGTAAGAGTATAGAAAAATTGTAATTATAATAAAGTGTTAATTATAAAAATGTTAATAATATAATAAGAAAAGTAACTAGGTACTTCGCTAATGCATTTACAAGAAAAAAAAGAAATAATTATACAATCCACTTCCAAACTGAAAATAATAAATTCGGTGAAATAAAGTTTTTTCTTTTAAATCGAGATGTTGGCGATTTGAATGCAGTTATTAAAATTTTTAAGATTGACCAGAAAAACCTAATTTTTCATGATTCTAATAGGTTAAAAGTTTCACATATAATACATGTATTCGAAAATGAACATAATTCTGAATTTGTCATTGTACCGATTGAAAATATTTATAAAAAAGTTGTAAAAGTATTGAATTATGTCTGTCGACTGTCAAATACATATATATATATATATATAAAGCAAAAAATCTGTAGCAATGTATTTTAAAATTATCTGCAATTTATGCTAATTTATTTCTGTTACCAAATTATTACGAAATATACCACTTTCCTTAAGAAAACAAAAAGAATTTAGTGTTACTTTACAAACAGTTCTTCAAATTATTACGAAATATACCACTTTCCTTAAGAAAACAAAAAGAATTTAGTGTTACTTTACAAACAGTTCCTAAAGAACTATAATATATTTTTTTTTCTGTGAGGAGGCATTGTATTTATGAAATTAATACAAAAGAAAAATATTTACACATTTAAATGAACGTTTAAAGTACAACTTGGCAGCGGTTTTAAAACTTAATTTGATATTTGTCAATTAAGATTATAAATATAACGAGGTCTTTTGAAATTTTTATATTAATATTTAATATAAACTTAATTTGATCCTTTGTTTGGATCAAATTAAACGAATATTCTTTAGTAAAATGTTAATAAAGTTTTAATTAATTTTAATACTTAATTTCACCCTAATAAGGATTATATTTTTAAATCGATTCTTCATAATCTCCATATTAAAATTTAATTTAAACTTTAAATTTAGTCCCTTATTTTAGTCAAATTAAAACAAATTAAATTGTGGGTCTTAATTTGGAACTAATTCCTGGGTTTTATTTATTAAGTAAAATTTCACTTGATTAAATGGACGCGTGTTTTAGGTGCACCAACTGAAAAAATTATTGGCGGTATTTTAGCACAAACTGGGGAAATTCCCTATCAAGTTGCGTTAAGATTACATGGCTTTTATTTCTGTGGTGGTGCTATTATCTCATCAACACATATTTTAACTGCAGCTCATTGCGTTAAAAAATACGAAGCATCAATTGAATATAAATATATTGAAATATTGAGTGGAACTAATAATTTAAAAAGCGGTGGCAATTCTAATAAAATAAAATCCATTAACAGTCATCCAAATTACGTAATTACTCCAAAAAATAGACCGAAATTCATAAATGACACTGCATATGACATTGCAATTATAACTGTAAGTAATTTTTGGATTTTAATAAAAAATTCAAATTCTATCAAGAATGTTTCTGTAACTCAATGAATTTCTACTTCATCATTTTTTCATTAGTTGGAAAAGGCAATTCAATTCAACGATGTTCAGAAATCTATTAAACTAACTAATAGAGATGATTATAATGGATATAAAGGAATTGTTTCCGGTTGGGGTTACACAGATTTGTCTGTTAATAAAAGTTCTTCATATTTGAAAAAACTAAATACCAATATTTTCAGTGGCGCCCAGTGTTCTGAACTTAATACTCAAATTTGTTCACGTTCAACTTTCAGCAATGGATTATGTTTTGTAAGTTAATTTAAATAAATTATTTTTAATTTAATTGTATCTTTTCTATACATGTAATTAATTTTACAAAACCCATTTTTAAAGAATGTGTAATTCTTAATTTTTAGGGTGACAGTGGAAGTCCATTGACTGTGAATGGAGAACTTGTTGGAATAGCGGCATATGTTTCAAAGTATGGCTGTGCGTCTGGTTTGAATGATGGTTTTACAAAAATTTTTAGCTACAAATCTTTTATAAAAGAAATAACGCAAATTAAAGAAGAAGTACCATTAAATAATTATCCAAATGATTTTTCAGAAAATCCAAACAAATATTTTCCAAATCGAGGAAGACCTAATAACAATACACCTCCTCTAGGCTTTCTTTACAAAAATGTTTCATATTCAGAAAGACCTAATAATTATTTAAATTCTTTAGGCATTCCGTACGAACAATTTAAAAATACAAGAAAACCTAACGAGAAGGTATATTTTACAAGGCGAAATGGTTTATGGTATCAAATACCTTACAAATTAGAAAAAAAAAATTATGAAGATATATATAGAAGGCCATTAACAAAATAAGTTTTATTTATTTTTATCCTGAAATTGTCAATTTGTAGAATTAAAACATAAATCTAAAGCGTCAAAAAAATTTTTTCTTAATATACATTACGAATCCGATGTCAGTTTTTCAAAAGTCAAAATGTTGGATCCAATATGGCGGACTTTTTTTTAAAAAACCGTTTGGATTCGCTTGAATCTTATTAATAGAGGGCTTTAAAAAATGTGAGAAATATAAAGCAAAACAATTCCAAGACAAATGATAGCCGATCTTAATAGTGAACAAAACGTTTCAGATAATAAAAGAATTTTTTACAGTTTGATATTAATTCCATACATATTCCACTTTGAATTTTAAAAACTAACATCGGATTCGTAATCAGCGACCCCAAAAACCCACGAGTAATAATTTTTTAAACGATTTTGATTAATTATGGAAAATTCTGCCGCCATATTGGATCCGCCATTTTGAATTTTGAAAAAATGACATCAAATCATTTTTCACAAATTACGTAAATTTCTTCCTTTAAGAGGTAATATTTGCGGGTTTATGACTCCCATAACAGAAACTCACTTGAATTTTTGATTTTTGTCAATTTAGTTAATAATAACAAGCTGAACTCATTTACCCCAAAAAATTTTAAAACTCAGTGTAAATGGGGACAGCTTGTTAACCAAATTGAGAAAAATTAAAAATTCAAGTGGATTTTTGTTATACGAGTCTTAAGGAATAAGAAAAAATTTTTGTATGATTTTTCAGTCTCCAACTCTCTATTAGAATAATTTCGATTGTATAGAATTGAATAAATCAATCGAAGATCAGAAAATATATCATTAAGCAGGAGTGTATAAATTTAAAATTAAAGTTCCTTTTTTTAATTTTGTGGTTTTGTATGGTCTAAAACAATCCTTAAATTATGTGAGAAAAATTTCGGTGCGTAAAATAAATTTCACCCCGTTTGAAAAAGAGCTTCTTTACACACACTTTTCGGTGTGTAAAATTTAACTTTAGAGGTTAGTGTTGCAAAAATTATATTTTTAGTTTATTTTTATAGCTCTAATATGCCTACAGTTTTTTGGAAATTATAGCGGTGCCACTGCAAAAGGAACCTTAAAAATACATTGAATTGTAAGCTGACATTATGTAAAATGTAAAATTTAATTTTAAAAGTATTTGGTAAATACGAATAAATTATTAATTTGGAAAAACTACTTCACGAACTTATGAGGTGCACTTATATACAAACGAATGAGGGTATATTGAGCTTAAACCGAGTTTGACCCCAAAAACCGGCCTTATTATCCTCCTCCTTTAAAACTTTAAAATTATTTTAAATATTTTAATTTATATATTTATTTAATTTATAAATAAAAATAATAATATAATAAAATTTATGTTTAATTAATTGCACATATTTTACATACATATATTTGCTATTAATTTCTTCTTTAATTTCAATATACAAAATTTATCCTGATATTTAAAAATGTCCTACGTGATAAAAGCATTTTTTATTTATAATATTATAACTATTCAATTAAATTACACTGTGTTAGAGAAAAAAAAATTAAAAAACACTTTTTATCGGACCTACTTGAGGTTGTAGGTAACAAAACACTAAGAAAAAAAGTATATTAAAAATTTCCCTAACACTTCCTAAATTTTACTTTTAGAGCCAAAAAACCGTTTTCACTTATGTTTATGACTAAAACCCTTGTAAATTTTTTATTTTTGCACAGATTTAAAATATTTTTTTTCATTTTGAAGCTAAAAAACAGGGCTTTTCAACCCACATAGAGTTTTTTTGTTAAAAATAATATTTACAAGTGAAAAGTTACAAGAAAGTTTAGAAATTGGCAGTTTTTTTTCAATTTTTCAACTTTAACTGATGTTTACGGCAATAATTATGTTTTAAACCTTTTTTTTCTTCATGTAATATTCAAGCGTACAATAAAAAAAAAATTTATTTGATTTAATTATTTTAAATTATTTGAAAAATATTTAATTGGTATTTAAATTTATGTAATTGATTCAAATAAACTGAATTATTTAATGCAAATAATTCGTTATTTAATGCTAATACACTATTTTATCAAGACAAATGGAAGAATTAGTAAATAAATATGTTATTTATTCAATGTGTTAACATTGTGTTAACTTATATTATTAATAATAAATATTTTAGATTCTGATGAGGACAGCAGTGCTGTCGAAACGTCAAAAATAATTTCTTTTATTTTATTGACCATTTTGACTTGGATTGATTGATAATTTTATTCCATTACTAAAGAGGTTTTAGTTTCAATTAAAACAATTACTTATGGTACATAATCGAATATTTGATTCAAGAATACTTTTAGTTGTTTCAAGAAAAATATTTTATTAATGCAAATAAATATTTATTTGAATAAAAAAAACATGCAGTATTGAATGAAATAATTTTCATAATTCATTTAAATAATTATTTATTGGCTTTGAATATTCCATTTATTTGATTTGAATACTTTGTATTTGATTCAAATAACTATTTATTTGATACGATAAAAAAATACTTAGGTTTACTAAATGTGTTCAAATAAATATTTATTGAATAATAGACCAGCAAATAATAAGTCTCTTCCAAATAAAGAAAGAATAGATAATTGCCTAATGTAATAAGAAGTAATGATCCTCGTTTAATGTAGAGGGTTTTGACACTTGATTTTCACTTTCGTATAAGAAAATTATGCACGTGAACTAGAAGACGTCAAATGGTACCAAGAATGAGGTTGATGTTATACGTATAAAGATGATTTGAGAACTGCAGTGGGATTACTAATAGCGCTGGTCGCTATGTAGCGCTTTTCGTTATTTAGAATTAAAAACTTCAATATTTTTAGTAAAATTTGTTCCAAATCATGACCAAAATAAAATACCGTTGACAGTTTTTTCAAAGCTTAAACTGCAAGATGGTAATTTAGAAGAAAATATAAACATAACCCCTCTAGATAAGGACATTGATAGAGAATTCATGTCAGTTTCGTAAAATATTTTATCTACGTAGCAAACAAATACAACATGAAGGTAGAATCAATTCTCCAACTTCATGTTTGCCAACTGTTACTTTCAAATAAAATAATTAACTAGTAACGAAATGAATTATACTTTAATAATGTAAATTTAAAAATTAATAAATTTTTTTAATTAAATTAATTAATTATTTTTTAATTAAATTGATTTAAAGTTTCATTTCTTGAAAAACTTTTTAACTCACAAAAAATGCCCTATATATTTTTTTAGAGAACCTTTGCGTGAGAACAAAAATTCTATTTCCGAGGTTATATATCTTCAAAATTTCTTAAATTAAATTTTTTTCCATTTTAGACAATGTCTAATAGGAACTTTTAATCCTATGAAAAAGATAATAAATATAAATGCAATAAATATTTAATTATTAATATAAAAAAGAAAAGTAAATAATTTATTATTATTATTGGATAAAGTTAAATTATTTTTTTTATTTTTTTGTAAGGATAGAAATTAAAAATAAATGTCTCCTTTATATTATGTTTTATTTAGTTTATAATTATTAATTATAAAAAACTTTAAGGTTTAAATTCAGAAATAAAAGTGTTAATATAATAATATTAATAATTATCGTTGCCTCGAATTGCCTTTTTATAACTTTTGAGATTTGACGTGTTACACTTAAAAAACTTTTCAGGCTTTTAGATATTTCTTTTAATTGCTTCATTTCTTCATCGTGGAAAAATCCTTATGAATTCAATACATTCTTGATTTTTAAAAAAATTGTTAAATTATAAAAGAAAGCAAATATGAGAAGAAAAATACACACAAAAACAATTGCACCAACCTAAATCTATCAAAATGGTACCATTTTTTTGAGTCATCCGATAGATAAAAATTTTTTTAAAGTGAAAGTAGCTTTGAATCGCTACGTAGCGAAATCTTTGTAGCGCTGTCGTTATTTGTAATCCCACTCCTGATCTCTCCATGAAAATGTAGTCCTTTTATACTGAGTTTTCGTAAGAGAATAGATAAAATTTTATTGTCGTACTATATATTTTTCACCCTTATTTTGGAAGCCAAGTTGAGTCCTTCTCTCTCAGTAAATTTTCGTTTTTTTTATTTTATTGGATTTAGACTATTCAATATTGATACACCAAGTATTAACAATATGTTTTGAACATTTTCTTAACCCATTAACGCCTGAAACTGAAAAATTTTGTGTTCATTTTCAAGGTATGTTTTTATCATCAAACTAAATAATATTTTTTACCAGAGGTACATTTTCTTTAGGTCTTGAAAGTGCTCTTTTCGATTCTGAAGTCAAAAATCATTTTTTTTCATACCAAAATTAAAAATGGCGGTTTTTATGTGAAAAAACCAAAAAAAAATTTCAATTTTGACATTTTTTTTCACCCATCGACGTATCTTTAAAGTGTATAACTTTTATGCACTTTTGGTTAAAAGCAAAATTATATACGCAAACTGTCGATGGGTGAAAAAAAATGTCAAAATGTCAAAATTGAAATTTTTTTTTGGTTTTTTCACATAAAAACCGCCATTTTTAATTTTGGTATGAAAAAAATGATTTTTGACTTCAGAATCGAAAAGAGCACATTCAAGACCTAAAGAAAATGTACCTCCGGTAAAAAATATTATTTAGTTTGATGATAAAAACATAGCTTGAAAATGAATACAACATTTTTCAGTTTCAGGCGTTAATGTGTTAATATCAATTATTGCATTAAAATTCGTCTGAACTAGAATCTTAGGTTTAACCAATTTTCTTCATATGATCACCAATTTCTTGGTCAATAAGCTTCGTTTTCCGTATATAATTACGCACCATTATGTATATCAACCTAAAAAGAACAATTAAACGTGAATTAATTTGAAAATAAATACGACATTCGTGTTCAGCGGGAATTTCCACTCCGGAAAATACTTGCGTAAATAAATATTCGGAAGCACTAATATAGAAAACAATATGGTAAATACTACGTTTACATTTTAGCAAAACAGCCTTTTTCCAAAAATAAACTCCTGACTTCGCAAGTTAATTGAATATTTCTGAAATTATCATTTGCATACAAAGAACCCGCTGTCGGTAAAAAAGAGATAGCAGATGTGCTGCGCGCTCTACGTACCGATTTTGCGCCGCATTGGACTTGTATTTGACATTTCACCCTACCTTATTTTATTGAAACTTAATATTGTTTTACTCTTTTAACTTTTAAATTTCACAGCTTCCACTTAATTATTATTCCTGTAACATCCTTTCGTTTTTTTAAAGCTTAAAATTTTCACCGCATTGGTACTCTTTGATTTACGCATTCACCATGACACCCAATGCGGTATTTTCAAATACTTCACTGTAACTTATAGGGATCTGCAAAGACTTTCAATTTTTCAACAAAAAATTAATTTAGACATCCCATCCTTTTGGCCCATAAATGTAAACAGATGATCACTACAGAATGAGGATATAAGGAAGATACGATGAAATGCATTTCACGTAGTTGAGCAATCCTGCACATTCGCTTGTATATGTCCTTCGGCGTGGGGCACATGGATGAGCAGGTCTGGTTGACGGAAAACATATTGTCGCAAGAGTTGAACTCCTTTGGGGCCACCCCCCTGGATTACTTTAGATGTATATAGCTTTAAATGTGCAACCGGATAATGTTTAGCTTGCGCATACTATACTGGAGTGAAGCGATAGAAGCTTCTGATTATCAAGACGCCAGGGAGTCCGATGTAATAAATAGTTTATGGTTCTAGTCGAGGAATTATCATTCATAACGCGCCGCACGTGACGGGAATATTCGTGCTCTAGCGAAACTCGATAACACATACTTGCCACGATTCTGCATCACCACACCAAACTCCACTTTTCCCACTCTACCAATTTTGCCAACAGAATCACGATACGTGTATATTCTCCTCTCTCTATATATCGAGAGATGCCCCGCATCTTTTCATTTGCCTCTCCTCGCAATATTTTAATCTTTATCACTTCTAATAACTGCTTTCCCATTTTACTAATTGATTTTTTTAACATTGAAATTCTGATATTAAATAGTAAATTAGTACAGTAATTCATTAAAAAGGGTCTGATAATTATGGTGTGTTAAATTACGATTTTGTTATAGATGAAGTTAATATATTCATGTGTGCAAGGTTTTTATTTACAGCCTTTATGAAATCTTGTTCAGTGATTCAAGTTGAAATTAAATATCCCATGTAAATTAATTAGTTATTGATTTGTAGTTGGAGAATTCTGTACTGACAATACAGAGATATTGCAAATCTAGTTTTTTTAATTTTTTATAAGAGAAATAACATTATCTTCAGAGAGCATTTCCGTTTCTATAAAAAAATTCCGATCATAATTTTCGTTGGATTTTTCGCATAAACGGACACACTGGAGAGGTGGATTAATTATATTTAAATATTCCGCTTTTCACTTTCAATATTCTACTTATTACTTACTTAGAATGAATTTAGAAATTTGTGTAATTGTTTTTGATATGTTACGTCTCAAATAGAGAAATAACTAACGAAATAATATTTTATTTTATTTATGGCCGCTAGGTGATTCAGTGAATTCCTGTTTCATTTACAGAGCAGAAGGCTCTGAACTAAGGGTACAGGAAAGAAAGAGAATAGTAATTAATTTTATAATTAGGTTACAATTTATTTAGACAAGTATTTTTAGTCACAACAATTCGTTCTTATGAGAGAGAGGGAATCTCGAATCAACCAATCCAGGAAAATAGAGAGTTCAGCATTCAACTGAAATAAGGAATGCAATGGTAACTACAAATATACGACAAGTTTAGAAAAGTTAGGAGTGAGGATATAAAACACTTACCTTAAAATTCAGTAGTAGGTGTGTTGAAAGAAAAAGGACCACTGCTGTGTCCTTGTTGTCACGGTAAAAGAGCTGGTACCAGCGTGAGTTTATGACGTCAGGTAGGTTGACGGGCCCAGGTATAACCGCAGGTCCGGAGTTCTATTAGGCGTGATGAAACTCCCAATAATGAGTCTCTTCCAAATAAAGGAAGAATAGATAATTGCCCAATGTAATGAGAAGTCATGATCCTCGTTTAATTTAGAGGGTTTTGACACTTGATTTTCACTTTCGTATAAGAGAATTATGCACTTGAACTAGAAGACGTCGACTGGTACCAAGAATAAGGTTGATGTTATACGTATGAAGATGATTTGAGAACTGATCTCTCCATGAAAATGTAGTCCTTTTATACTGAGTTTTCGTAAGAGAATAGATAAAATTTTATTGTCGTACTATATATTTTTCACCCTTTTTTTGGAAGCCAAAGTTGAGTTCTTCTCTCTCAATTGAACGTAAAAAGGGGGGTGTGAACCATTCTAATACAAGATAGAAAGAGTACGACTATGGTTATTCGCAGCTTTAGAAGAGTGTTTATGGTCTTCTAATGTGGTGATACCATAGAGGTTCGTCACATAGGAAAATTAGAAAGAGAACATTTATTACATCGTCTGATTTTAGCACATAGGGAAAATTAAAAAGAGAGCATTTTGTTTCGTAGGGGTTTGAGCTCTTATAGTTTCATAAAAGATTTCTCGCTTCTATTTGTATGTTTTAGAAATACAGTATATAGACGTAGAAGGATACAAAACGCAGGGGTCTTTTTATATATAAAAGAAAGATGTTTAGTTGCGCGACAAAAGGGCGGAAATTGAACATTTAAGAGAAAAGTATTTAGATGCGTAACAAAAACACGGGTGTTTGCTGCAAGAAAAAACGCAACTCGGTATAGATTTAAGAATTATTATAATATAATATAATATACAGCGATATAATATAATATACAGCGAAAACGATTTAAAGAATTTTTTTTCTTCAATTTTCTTTATCCTTTCTGTCAACATATATACATTTTTTTCTAAACAACTTTTCACGAATATGCAAAAAAAAATGTATGTATAGAAGAAGGAAGTTAAAATCCGTTAAGGGGAATAGCCTTCCTTTGGAGTATTGTTCTTCCGTCACATTGATTGTATCCGCGAGCGTTTCTGACTCGCCGCTATACGGAAGAGGGGGAGAGAGAGGAGATGGAGGAAGGGGGTTGAGATAGTTGCGGATAATGCTGTAAAGCCGCTATATGGCCCTCGCAAAACGCTACTCCCGTCGTCTTCTTATCTTTCGCAAGAATTACTATGTTTCTATAGGGGATACAACTTGTTAAGACGCGCGATAACTTTCTGCCGATAGCGGAAGAGAGCGTTATTTCACTATATGGCGAACCAATTCCATATAGATATTTATATGTATAATGATTCATTAGTGAGTTCTTTAAGGGTTTTCAATGGCGAATTGATTATTGGAAAATGTGCGCATCTTCAGGTGCACATATCGTGATAATCCACAATTCTTTATATGTATATACACAACAATCTTTACGATTGTTGAATCTTATCTTTGCAATTAGACTTTGCATTTTGTATATACTATATTCAGCACACGATCATTTTTAAGATATTAATCCAACTATATTCTGACAGTACAATTAAAAGATTCAAGTGGAAGAGAAAGAAAAAATAATTTGTTATAAAACGTCAAAAATTACCCCTTGGGAGGATTATATCTATAGACAAAATATAAATACAATTATATAACTCGTGCAAGAGTTTTGTAAAGTGTAATAGAAACGCTTGTAAGCGATACAGGTGTCGTAAAATGTAGCAAATAATCTCCTCCTTATTTTCCACTTATCAACTTCCTTATCTATGCACACGTGTCTAATTCACGATTAGGAATCAGCATACCGTTGTATTCATATCGACTGGTAACATCGAGTGACAGTAGGTAGGTAGTAATGCTCTTTGCAAATGTTGTATATATACTGTGCACACAGCGGCACCATCTGTTTTATATTTACTTCCTACGGCGATTTGGTTTTGTAAAACCTTTTTGCTGGTTTCATGATTCTTATAATGGTTGGTCCAGAGGCCAGATCACATTATATATATATACATTACCAATATTCAGGTTCATTCACCCACTGTGTTCACACCTCATTGGACAACACCAATATCGGCAAACTTCCAGCAAGCATCATCACGATCTAAGAAAATCCTCTCTCGTTGATCGAGATACAACTTTGTTTCTATTTTCTCACACTAAAAGCATTACGGAAATGCCAAACATGCAATTATGTCAGATTCCTCGTCCAACATGGGATAAAAGGGAACATCTGATAAATTAGATTCCATTTCTTGTTTAAAAAAAAATATTATCTTTTACAATATGGGGTCAAATTCAAGAGGCCATACAAAACTAAAGAAGATGAAGAAGAATTCCATAGAATTAGTTGTTGATCGAACCTAAAACTCTATAGAGTAGGTGATCACACTGTTTTAATAGCATCTTATAACGTATAATATGCCGGATTGTCATTAATTTCTTAAGTTTTCTTTCTTTTTTTTTCTGCGCAACTCGCCAATAGTTACCACTCCCATAATCACTTCTCGATCCAGTTTTAACGACCACGTCCAGTTGAATTAAGGGAAGCCCTCCAGGTTGATCTCGTGTAGATTATCGCAAGATTAAGCCCGCCACCGTACTTGCGAGCAGCAATTACAATTAAGCGTGAGTAATATTTAATTATTGCACGTTATATCGTGTGCACATCGCCAACGGCAATGTTTTAATCGGTCACTCGAAAGAGAAGAAAAAAATTCATCTTGGACACTCGAGTAATATATTTATTGAATTTTTTTTTTCTTCTTCTTTTAATCGGTAAAAATTTTTTTGAAAACTTCTAATTAAATAAGAATTTATTTGTAAATAGAAATATTCTTTTGATAATATATAAGTTTTATTGAAATAAAGATTCCTTTGATGAACGAAAAAACGTTACTTTGCAGGGATTTTAATTAAGAATGTTCTATTTTTGGTTAGGATTTTTTTTAAATGGATGGTAAGTGAAAAAATGTGAATGTAAATTTTTCTGCGACATGGGCGTATTTAAAAATCTTAATAATTTTTAAATACTTGTAATTAAGAACCTTTTGAGGGGAGTAGTTGTACAAGATGGTTGATTGTAATGAGGAGTAATAACAGTTATTATGATAATTATACAGACGAGGGGGAGACGTTCGTGTATCGATACTGCATGTCGTGTTTTAGTGGAGATAATTGTTTTATTGAAAAAAGTAAATGTAAGTTATGATTAAAATAGAAATAAACAATGGAAGATGAATTTTAGAGAAAAACAGCAATAAAAGGAGCAATGGTGATGACTCGATTTCTAAATTCAAAAGAAGGAAATTTTATTTCATTAGTTCGAATTATTTTTGTAGAAGTTATAGGAATATGGAAATTTTCTACTTGAAAGTTGAGTTGGAAAGTTTAGGATGAAAAGTAATATTTGTGACGTTTTATTTTTTAACACAGAGAATGTTGACAAGCATCTGTGGAAGATTAGAAGAATGTTCCTATGTGGTATCTCCCTTATTTACGACGGCTTTGAAGTTCACCAAACTTTTCTTTACATATAAAGAAGCTTGGGTTCTTCTTGCAATTTGCAAACTTATGATCGGCTTCTTCGAACTTTATCTGTCTGACACCTTACAATCTGCTTCAATGTGGCCATATCTCAGACACTTATGACACATAAAACCAATTTTTATAGATTCTAATTTCTTCAGTCTGTCCGCCTTTTTCTTGGTCGGTGACTACA